CATCGCCCGATGCCATCGGCCGATGCCATCGCCCGATGCCATCGGCCGATGCCATCGCCCGATGCAATCGCCTGGTGTGTCCGCGACCGGCGATAACATCGCCCGATTTTACAATTCATCAGCCAATCAGAGTTCATCAGCCAAGCGCACTGCGCGCGCAAGAATCGCCCGATGCAATCGCCTGGTGTGTCCACGACTGCGCGATGCCATCAGGCGATGCCATCGCCCGATGCCATCGGCCGATGCCATCGCCCGATGCAATCGCCTGGTGTGTCCGGCCCTTAACTCAGCCCCTAATTGACCTAGCGTGACCAAACTTGGTATGCTTACATATCTTGGGGAGAAGGTCTGTCGCATACCAAAACCACCACTGCCCTTGACCTTAGTTTGACCTTGACCGTCGACTTACATTTCCTCTTCGGCCTCCTAGGGTAACCAGATTCCATATACTTGCACATCTGAGGCACACCAGTTGTCTAACAAACCTGTCTTTGTCACTTATTTAACTTTACCTGCCTTCTACGTCCTTACACAGATATTCCATTCATACTAGATCACGGGGGATACATGTAGTTGGCGACAACTGCTCGTTTCTAGTTATTGGATGACCGTGCATCTGTAAAGAATGTTGCGCGTTTTTGCGTGTTTTTTTTTGCTAAAGATTTAATGGTTGCCATTGACATCCCTGTGATTGTCAATGGGCGTGCATGCGTGCGTCAGTGTGTCTAACACTCAATAGTGTAAAACACCGGAATTTGCACTGTGATTGGTCAGTTTTACATGAAAACTGCGTGTGTTATATATTCACAACCGTGCAATAGCAGCAGTAGACCGTTGGCCATGTTTGTCTTGTTCTTTGATCCCATTTCTAGAGCGTCTTCACAGACTCACGACTCGTGTGTAAAGCCTGGTGCACCTCCGATCCACGTTAATGCGATAATGATGCAGATTTAATAACGCCAGTGATATATTCAATGCAGCACGTGCTCTACTTAAGAACAGGCTGCACGCGATGACTTGTGAAAATAGAATGTAGGTGGCGCACGAGTAGACTTGCCACATTGTAGGTGGCGCTCGCGGATTTGCCGAGTGATGCTCCCGGTACTGATCAAGAAGCTGGAATCGTGAAATCGTGATTTACTTGAGACACAGAGCCAACTAGCAAGTGAAGTCTGAAGCCTTTGGACAAGTCAGCGCGAGCAAAATGCATGTTTTTACTCTTACTTACTTAATTACTCGTCACGAGTCTAGGATATAATGAGAGATAGCTGATGTTTTCATCGTCGTTGAATTGTACAGATTTTTGTTAGATATTGTATGTACGTGTGCGAGTGTTCGTGCATACGTGTGTGTAAGATATTCGTACATGCTCAAGGTCGTAGTATCACGCATTCGGCCGTTACAGCGCAGTAGTGTAAAACGTGTTACAAGTTGTAGAGGCATGTGTAGTATCGTAAACAGCTGGTTTCTATGTATAGAACAACGCCGGTAAGGAGTCGTCGGCAGTCGGATTAGCAGGGTGGGTATGGTGCACTGTAGGTTAGGTCCACGGGCACCGATGTGGAGGGTGCTTACGGCAGAGCCGTGCTGTGTTTATCAGAGCTAGTGTTCTGTTTTCTGTGTATCTCTACTGAGAAGCTTTCCCTTTAAGCACCCCTTCTCACCCTCCCTCCCCCTCTCCATTTCCACCTATCTCTCTCTCTCTCTCTCGTAGTCTCCCCCCCTCGCTCTCTCTCCCTGTCCCCTAATATTTTCCATCTCCTGCTCCCTGCGTGCCTCGCACCCCTCCACCCATTCTCACTAAGTACTAGTTTGCAGCAGTTTCCCATTTTGAATGTGTTGCAAGTGCGATCTTGTAAGATAAGGAAGGTGAGTAGGATCGCTGTAACACCTCACTTTTGTAGATGACTGCAGCCAAGGAAGTGTAATCTTGCAGCCAATACATGATCTGAGACAAATAAACTTGGAGGACTTCGTTTAGATTTGTCGGTGCACGGACTACCTATCCAGGCATGGACACAGATGCCATTCGCTGCAATAAGCAGAATTTTAGTTGTATCAAAAATAATTTGTTTAATGCATGAAAATGATCGAGATATATTTGGTCACACAGTGTATAAATAATTGCTATTATGGAACTTTCATGCAGTGCTGATTAAAATTTAAACAGTGACTATATTTTGTTGTTCCTACAGACAGTACTTGATGATAAAAAATATTACGTCAGTTAATTAGAAAGATCACTACACTTGTTAAGATGTAGTCTAAATATAACAGTGTGTGCGTCGTAATATACTAACATTTTGTAAATCTTACATACCCAGTTCGTATTTTGAACTGATAAAATACACTGCTCTCACGAGCAACGTCTATAAAGGAAATCCTAACGAGAGCCTACCAAGTATATACAGTAAATACACGCGATTGTGCTGCCATCTGGCAGCGAGTATCTCGGAAGTCTGTGTGTTAGCTCGTTTTCACATCACATCGAGGCAGAACGGGTAGGATGAGATTGCCGAACGATGAGTCTTGCGTGATGAAGTATCCAAATGAGTTTGCATGTGCATGCTAGAAAGGGAAAACAATTACGAATGTATTCAACACTAAGAAAACCCCACGTGAAGGTGAAAAACATGCGCATTCTGCCCCACTGCATCCTACATATAACCATGATATAGTAACGCGTAACTAGTCATGATGTATATCACCCTATTAATGCACAACTAACAATACTAGCAGGTAGAAACGCCATACAAATACAGACAATTGAAACTCAAACGCGATCTGTAAACTTCACAATCAATGAAAACAATGAGGATCTGCTTCTTGTTGACGCCATCGGCAGATGATGGTGGATATAAATAGCCAAGACTTATAAAAAAAACTCCGCGTTACATCAAACACGTCCTACACCACCAGCAGGGAGCGGCCAAGAACGTTTTTATTATTCAACAAGATAGTAGTCGCCACAATACCACGGTTACAACTTACAAGTAAAAAAGTAAAGATAGGTGTCACCACCTTACAAGCCTTAGTTTATATCAACACTTCTTGCATCCAAAACTTCACGACAATCTAACAACACGCGATGATCGATGCAATATCGTGAAGCCACATGTAAACACGGTCATTATGACGTCACGTACCTGCAAGGCTGCGCGCTGTGACGATGACATGTGGTGAGTGTCACCAGCCATGTCACGCATCATCGGCTGCAAGGTAACAACCCTCTACATTACTCACACACACCTTTTGTTTATATTATTAGGAGTGAATAATAGAGATTATTCTAGAGATTATTATCTCTATTATTTACTCCTGATATTATTAAATCTTTATTGCATGTAATTCAAATAGAAATACATGTACTGAAGTCTTTTTCATGGAGAAGATATCTCATAGATGCAATACTGTTGAGCAGTAAAATAATAAAATGTCTGAGTGATACAGTTAGTTCTTACCTAGATGTTACACCTAAGTTGTCTGGATAGTAATTTCTAGACAAAGTTGTATAAATATTTGATGGGTATAAATTTATATTATAGCCAAAATTACGTCACTCGTCATTTTCTGTAACATTAGTCAAAGTAAAACCACATTAAATTCATGAAATTGACGTGAAAAATACTGACATACCGGTGTAGCAGGCACTGCAGGTAGGGGGCTAGTTCTGGAAAAATAGAATAATATAAATCTATGTATTCGATAACCCCTGATAAAACATGGGAAAATCCCACCACCATTTTTATGCACTTTGATTTCATGACAAACTGTCATTTTCAAATCCAAATAGTTTGCATAAACTTGAAGGCAGTGGCTGGAGGTACGGCAGCCGTATCCCCAATTTACGAGGCTGGAGGTACGGCAGCCGTATCCCCAATTTACGAGGCTAGAGGTACGGCAGCCGTATCCCCAATTTACGAGGCTGGAAGTACGGCAGCCGTATCCCCAATTTACGAGGCTGGAGGTACGGCAGTCCATTCGCTTTCATACAAACGAGACAAAGATGGCAGCGGATGGCGGGAGTTTTCGAAATAATGCCTTGGAAAATAAATTCACGATTTGAGAGTTTTGATGAGCTAGAAAACAACTGCGGATTAGGTATGAAAATAAACAGTATTGTATAACTTTACATCAGAAGATCGCCAATAATTGGCCTCCAGCTAGTGCCCATCACAAATATCAAGTGCCGCGTTTCAAAGATCGCCTGGCTATTTTAACGTCGACCACAGATAATATTCTACCGGCTGCCTACGCTCTCCGTCCCGACTGTTCTACTTCTCTCTGTGTGTGACTAGCATTGTGCAGAATTTGAGTTTGAGGAACTGTGAGCTGTGTAGTAAACATATTTTGGCGTCTTTTTATAAGTACCAGAACATCATAAAAACTCAAAGAAGCTTTTCTTTTCTGCTAGTGATTTCATAAATTTCTTCAGGATTCCGATCCGGTTCTTCGATATTAGCCTGCGATCGATTCGATTCCGCTGGTCTGCGGAGTCAGTGTGATCAGAACTTTTCTCATTACACCGCGAAAGATATTGAAAATCCGTCGAGTTTTTTCTTACTTTTTATTATTACTCTCGATTTGAGTTTCAGTGATAGCTCATAATTTGGCTAAATCTCAGGATAAATTGCCAATGAAGCTAGTAATTAAATGTGGTGAGTACGATCGTGAAGACGAGTTTCTAGTGAGATTATAATAAACCGATCTTGCGCAAGGTTCAATGCAGGAAGTGCGCTTGAGTGCAAGCATTGGTGAGTTGAACAAAAACTTATGAAGGGCATGAAGATCAGCTATTTAATATGGCTTCCATTAGAGATTAGTGTTATACGACTCCACGCTAATGAGAATCTGCTAATGCGTCTGTAGTCGCCTTTTAATCTGCCAACTGCTAATTTGGCGACGGAAAGACAAGCTATCGACGTAGGTGCGATTTAACACCGACAATACTGTTGACGGATATCACTACAATATGAGGATTCGGGAGTCGGAACGGTGAAGACGAGTGTGAGTCGCGTGTTATTCCCTCTGATTCGAATTTCAGGTGGATCGTTACTCGCATCGGCATTATTAGCCTTTGGTCAATTGAGATAGACTATTATAAGCTCTAGTACCTATACAACGCCAAGACGCGTACAGTTGCCTCACGCGCTGTGCGGTCAACTACATGCACGTGGGAATGTATTACGAACCGCAGTCTAATGTCAGCAGGCGGCAGGAATGGGGTAGCTCAGTAGGCAAGCCTGTATACACTAGAGGCCGTACTGACGGTACCGGCGGGGAAGGTGCCTGGCCTCCAGCTCTTGCTCACGTTAAATTGTATTCACGTGTGGTCTTACTGCGCAGGTGTCTGCTCAACTACGAGTGTAGGCTTTGTGCTCTCCCATGTGGCCTGTGCAATCACTATACGGATTCTTCTGCATGTTTTTGAGTTGCGCTCTCTACGGCGTCCAGCTGCTTGGCATATTCGAATCCTCTCTTTGCTATTCTACATCTCGTAATCCATGCTCGGAGAATTTATCAGTCGCGTGTCCTGTCGAGAACCTAGCTCAACAAGCAAACTCGGGCTGCCTGAGGTCTTGGTCGTACATGTCCAGCCAAATCCAAAACAAGGGACATTGAGCATACCAAAAACGGTATTGACGGATATTGAACTATGTGAGTTCAGTCTCACGAAAGATCGTCATTGCACCGCGCGTAGCGCGTCCTGCTGCGTGCTGTTTGCCAGTAGCGATCAACACGGCAATGCTCCCCGCTTGCTCAGCAGCCTTGGTCGGGGTTAGGGTGACATGTCAACAGCAACAAACAAATGTTATCTACTGTAACTTGAACTTCTAATTTCTATATGCTTTTTATATGTTTCTTAAAGGCATCACGTACAGATGCCCAGGATGTGCGCTACCCATTGATCTTAGGTAATTCCATAGAGTATGAGAGAGATACTATTAAGCACCACGGATGTACGATCGTGCACCGCTGCCGCAATCGTTTGTAGCTTATCAAGCCTACATTACCGCTGTTATAAGCAAACGCATATAGTTTGTCCACTATCACTGCTAATTACTAAGAATGTCTATTGAAATCCGAAAATCTGGTAATACTCTTAAGTTGCGCGCCAATGCTAAATAATAGTGGTTGCCAATCAAAACAATAGCCTACCCACTGTGCGGCTCAGGCGGTCTATGCGCGACGCGTGCTGGTGCTAACGCGTCTGATCCGCGGTGTTGTGATGCACCAGCGAATTGTTTGTCCCGGGGCAGCTCGTCTTCAGTTACCCACCGTGCACTAGACTGAGGCCCTCAGTCAGTATCTCATGTCTCTCTTGAAGTAGATAAATTCTCTTTCAGCGTATTTGAGGCACAAAACTAATATACTCACAATGCCGCGTGTTGAGAGCTATCTATAGTGTACTCGGTGGTGTAAACGCTACCAATATCCTCCAACTTTACAGTCGATACAGCCGTGTAGTGAGCCCACGATATTGAAACTCTCTATATGATACTGTTAAAGGCTGAAGTTAGTGCGCCGTTCTTCGTTGCTTTCTCATTGTATTAAAGTAAAAGACCATCGAACTGTCTGGCTCCGTGCGAGCTAGTACATTAGAAGAGCAGCGTTGGAGATTCGAAGGCCTTCCGGGTGTAAAGTCGTTCGACATTAGCACCTTAATTAATCACCCAGCTGACACTTCGATTCTAATAACCGGACAACGTTACATATTACTAAAATCGTTGCGCTATAGAGCCGATTCACGTGGGCAGGAGGGTGTGGATGCTACTGTTTTATTTTGCTCTGAAACCTAGATTGTCTGTATGTGCAATTCGCGTTAAAATGCGAACATTGTTTCGTAAGTAAGCGCCTATTACGAACATATTTCGATTTTGATAGACTACCGTTGATTCGTACGTGGATTCCACGTTCATCATACAATCAGAGCTACTGTTACGATATTACAGTTACGGTACTGTACTATCGCTAGCATTGCGGTACGGCCGAGCATGGGTGCGAAATGTCCGGTCCCTATAAATCTGTATCACACCCGTTTCGCGTATGCGGTTTCGAAACTGTAAACAAGTCGACAACTGATTTCTTGGACTGCGGATTCAAGTAGACATTTCTTAGTAACGAGCATGATGATTGGACAAACTAATACGCGTTTGCTATAAGTAATGTACTATTAAAGCTAGCCAAGTTGCCAGCTTGGCTGTCGACGTAGTAGGAAAAAAAGTGGCTCGATCCAGTTCTCGTGATCGTCATCGCAACTTGCTAATCAATGGGGCGTTATTGAATAGCTATATATCAAGGGCAGCCATGAGCTTAGCAACCGAATGACAGTAGCTCTCATGCGATTTCCAAACAGTATCTCCATAGTAAATTACCATGTATAGTATTTCGCTGTGTACAACGTGTCTCGTGACGTTACTCTGTGGAGTTTAAAATTGTCCATGCATCACGCTAAATACCTAATAACACTCTACACTTACTACTACAATATATACACACTAATTACACAACATCAATGATGGACAAACCCTTGATACCCCGTTTCCGACCCACACACGCTGCGCGCGCAACCATCAATCCACTCGCAGTACTGTGACGTTTTTGCCGCACTGATCTCTATAAATAACTATTATTGGGGGTTTTGATTATAGAGATCAAGTGGTTTGGCCGGCTCCTCACTCCCCCCACAGCACACACACACACACGACACACACACCCGACCGGCGCGCTGTCTCGCTACTCCCTGCGGCTAACGGGAACAGGCAACGGGCCACTGGCGTGATCGCGCCGGTAACAAAGCCAGCAACCACCGCTGTCTGATACGCCATCCACGCCACCGACTCTCATGAAGTGAGGGTGTACTTCCACTCCTCGCCACTCTGACATCAAGCAACCCAACCTACACCACTGAATATCTGAACGTATGGTTGGCCTGTCCGCTGTGTCTTCACACATGCTCCAACACTCATGCTATTACTGTATAGACGCTAGCCACCACTCAGTGCTAACCATACGCGACATGACGGCACACAAATAAGGAGGGCACCAAGTGCCGCTACTTCGCACCGAACGCCCCTGTCCCATTTTGGATTATTTATGCAGCCAGATACGTATAATTTATTAATGTACTGTTCGATGCATTTTTTCATTGACTCTGAGTCTTGTTTGAGAGTAATCTTTCGGGTTCAGGATATATCATAGAGAACATGGGGTCCCCAATCAAAACCAATGTCATTTACATCAATATAAATATAGATATTATATCAATCTAAATAAGGTTAGTGGTTTATGGTTAGGGTGTAAGGTGTTAGGGGTCACTCACTGCAGAGACATTAGCTTCGGCGTTGGTAGCGGACTTGCTGCCCAACATCTCGCACTCTCCGGCGATTTTATGTCAGCACGCCCGACCGCAGCGCCGCACCCCACAACGGACCCATGTTCGTCTTCCTGGGCCATTTTCCGTGTGGCCCACCACACCGAGTGCGATGTACATAGCTGGTTCAGTCACTAGCTCTGCTGGCAGCACCTAGGCCTCCTCACTCCTAATGGGTTGCCACCCTATTCCTCGGTACTTATATCCTGTCAATAGGTTGCACTGAAGAAGGATCCTCATTCTTGATTCTCCGTAGTCACACTCGAGCGCTATGCTACATCAACAGATGGGATGCTTCGTGTCGCCGCTTGTTGATGCTAT